TGTAAAATAATTGTCGTTTTAAAGTGGATGTTCATGTAGGTCACATATCAAAAGAGTTAGAATCATGTTTTTAAGTTGCAATCTCGCAACCATAAAATCCTTTTGCTGATTATAACTAAGCAGATTAAAATAAGGAGTTGCCATGCCTTTTGTAACACAACGCATTCACCGATAGTAACGCAAAAGAAACCGATAATACTTTTGTTATAGCATCGATCACAACGTGTAACATCAGTTTCTGTTTTAGATCATATCTTCATAAATTCTAAATTTATTTCTTTTATCTGATGAATTATCAACTCAGCAATGCCATTTCATGGTCATATAGTAGACATGCTAGGTTTGCCGACAGAAACTATTCTTTAAAATTATCTAAAACTACAATACAAAGCTGAGATACTGCCTTTTTCTATTTCGCTGAATCTGCATGTTATTGTGTGGCTCGAGGTTAATACCCTCTTATTATAGTCAGTCAGGTTTGATGCCTTGAAACCAACCTTCCTAAAACACAAGTTGTTTACACTCTAGAAGCCCGCTAATAGACTCAAAATGTATATTTACGGAATTGTCTGAACGTTCTGTACCAGCGGCCATGTTTATAATGACGCTCACGATCCATCAACGTGTCACTATATCTAATACAGAAGAGTTCTACGTCCGCTGTCAACTTTGTCTCCATTGTACCCGCTAATCAAATCAAACCGCAGTTGTCTTGGCCGTTCCTGATAAATGGCTGCGGATAGGTCGTAATGAGGTTAGGCTAAAGGACTTATGACCGAAGAACGCCTCTGACAGGTTATGGCTTGGCTTTCTAAGGATTTATGTGTCCCAAATTTGGGGACAAGAAGAGAATATGCAGCGAAACCCATGCCGTTATTTCTGGTTAACTTGACATGTTTTTATATTAAAAGTACTATCACTATGCACCTACACCTTGATTATATTTTCATCGAATAAGGCGTGACCTTTTTACAGAACAACACTCAAGTATGGCATGGTTTCATCCTAAACCTGTTTGTGTAGTCTTTGATCATACAATGTGCATGATTTCAAAAGTGTGCTGAGTAAATAAGGAGCACCTGTCGCCTTAACTCATATAAACAGGTAGGCCTAACAGGGAATTAGCTTTCATCTATCTGTCCTAATTCCTCTTTAACACTAAGTGAAAACGCTGAGCGAATAAAGATCACCTATCTTCCCCGACTCCTAGTAACGGATGGCAGGTACTTCTACATCAGCTATCTATCCTATTTCTCCCTTTAACGCTAAATGCTGAGTAAAGAAGGATCAACTATCGTTTCGACACCTACGAACAGATGACAGGGACTTCGCTTTCATCTTGCTGTCCTATTTATTCCTTAAACACTAAATGCGTGCCGAATTATAAAATATTACCTATTGCCTTGACTCCTAGTTACAGATACCAGGGATTTCGCTAACATTTGTTTTTCCTCATCCTCTATTTAAGTGTAATGAACTAATTAGAATCACCTATCACCTCAACTCCTAGTGACACGTGACTGATTTTTTGCTAGCATCTATCTGTCCTATTTATCACTTAAACGATAAATGATAAATTAATAAGGATCACCTATCGCACCACTTCTTAATAACGGTTGACTGAGCTTTTGTAAGTCTCTATTATCTGTATTGTTCTTCCATTAACACCAAATATTTGCGTATGATATCACGGGACCCCGTCGAATGTTTTGCACTGATGTGTAAATGTAAAAGATGGGCTTATTGACTCATATTCCAGGATTACATGCATAACACGTTTTATCTAGCAGGCGTAATAAGTAGAAGGTAGTAGTGAAGGCGTGCGCCCCGATAAAAGCGGATCTAAATAATAGATGTCATTCACATCTTTACAAGCAAAGATTTTATTGCACGAAGAATGTATAATAACGTTACTATCCAGCGCTTTTTGGTGTAATATTTTTGTTTTGCAACGTAAGCTATTAACGTTATCTTCACAACACCGCTACGATGTACATGTTCTAGTAAAAATCTGAATAAAGCGAAAAAGGGGACGCAGAGATAAGCAAATTATGAATAAAGTGATTGTCACGTAGCCAATAGGCTACAAAAATAGTTCCCCGGATTTAATCGCAACGGTTTATCTTAAACAATTGTCATTAAGCAAGCAATGATGGTCACTTTGTAAAGCCGAACAAAAAACCCAAAATGTCGCCAGGAAAACAGTTTTTGGAAGTGTTGTAATAATAATTATTCAAAACCTGTCATATGAAGGAAAAGTTAGTAAACCCTTCTTTTACGCAGGTATCTGGACAATCCTTATGGTGATATCGGTAAAACCCTTTGACTTTATTGAACATGACACTCGTTCATCAGAAGATATCAGGACAACAGTCCTTTGTGGCGACATGTTCGGAAAAACGTATCGTTGTTGAAGTGTGACCAGTGCAACCCTTGTATAATCTCGTCGGGGCAAAACTCACGATGGAGATCCCGGGGCAGTCATTCTTATGGAAATCTCAGGAGAACCCTTCTCGGTAACGATTTATCAGGACGACTCTTCTTAATAGAGGTGTTATCAAAACAAGTTTTTTTCAAGATGTGCGACAGTCCATCAATGTTTTGAAAATTATTTTTAAGCAGATCTGGTCAAACACCCTATATCATTTTCGAATTATAAATCAATACAAAATATCATTATATCGAGTTTTTGAGTGCAGCTCTTCATGCTCAAATGCATTCTATTTCATATTATGTTTCATTTTTTTTTGTCCATTCCCACATCGTGTGATTACTGATATCCACGTAATTTATCCATAGCCGTTTTAATAAAAAATACAATGCACCTTACATATGAATGGATGTAGTATATCACTAGACATATAATAGTAAGTTTTACACTTATACAAGTTTACGTCTTATCGTAGTCATACATATAAATTTGTTGTAATAATATTTAGCGTGTTGGTCATTTAGACTACACGTCACCCACATAAATAATAAAACTATGTCGTGACTTGGTCGTGTATACTTATATTGGACAGCTGATAGACAATATCCGTGTGACTTATAGAGCTTTACTTATCACAGATCGATAAAAAAACCTCTTAGGGATGTTTTGAGATTACATACAGTATCGGAATAGCGATATTATATATTGATGTGACTTTGCAACAGAACGGGCTTCCAGTCACATCATGGCGTGGACCGAAGTGGCCACTTTACACCTTGTAAGAGGCAATAAAAAACCCGAATCCTGTTTCGTATCTCTAAAGTGCCGACAGGAAGAAAAGTTCTTTTAGTAAATTGAGAATATCGATGCAAGTAAATTTTTTAAAACATTCAAGTTCTTTAACATTGCAGTTGTTTTTTTCCACACTGTAAAACATATATCATAAATGCGGGACGTGTCATACATTTTTCGTCATTAAAACATTCCACTTGCTCACATTATTGTAAAAATATCTGTTTTGTGTTCACGTAACACGTTGACGCTTAAACATACTCTTAATTGCCTTGGCCCAACACCGACCTTGACCTGCACGCGTAGGTTTACGAGTCCAAAGGCAAAGTGGTTAAGGGATTTAGGGAACCACGACAAGTGACGGTGCCGATAAGTCTGATGCTAAGCGGGATTGTTCCGAATCAATGTCAACACATGTAAGGATGAATAGATATAGAAGTCAAACATAGGACAAGTTAGGATTATAACGCGGGGTTCGAAGAAGCGGGACAACAAATTAAAGCTTATGCGAATCACATATAAATTAAGCGCAGGACAGAGTGTTCAAAGCATGGCTAGCTTACCGATTCGGTATGAAATAAGATCGGTGTCTGATGTTTAAGATATGTCTCAAAATGTACAGCTTTTTTTCCTGTGTGTTCGTTACCGGCTGAATATTCTATAGATGCAGTTTTAAGGTAGAATGTCAAGATTAATAAACATTTTATATACTCGATGGAATTATCACGTCAAGTTGCTGTAAGCTAACAAAACTTAGGACAACCTGATCCAGCAGTCGATTAAGTCAAGTTCATCATTCTATTAATTTGACATTTATGTTGAATAATTATATTTAGTTTAAGACAATAATGATAATTATTTTTCTTTAAAGAAACAAAAATGCCCAAAGCACCGATCCTCATTTAAGACTTGTAATTGTTTTCTTTTTTCTTTTTCAACAAATCATTACTAATCATTAATCAGTTTTAGTGTTTAATTTCCTTTCTTGAAACTTGAACCGGAATACCAACGGCTGACAAAACTACGACGATGATAAAATAATGATGTCACATTATAGCCTTAAGTGACGCTAAAATTTTAGAAACTCCATCTTGTTTCAATTTGTATATTTGACGTGCAGATAACAACTGAATAGTTCGAGTCAAAAGAAGCTCTGGCTTAATGGAGGTAATACAAAACCTTTTCATACTCTATGACCAGAAGACTGGTTAAATCACTATAATAAGTCTCGTTCGGTATGCAAGAAATACCGTTACACCATTAATTTATATTTACATTTGTACTGTAACCAACTATATGAACATTACCAACAGAAATGCATTTCATTCGAGTATGAAAGCAGAAACTCTCGTGACGTAACACGTGGTTTACTTATGACGTCACAGATTAACACAACTGTTTAATGAGAGAATTGTCGCTTCGCTTCGGATAACATGGAAATAACATTTGCCCCTGCGTCAAACGCTCAAGTGACTACAATTAATTATTTGCGCCAATTTTAGTTAAATTGGGCTGTTCCGCCAATGTCGTTTAAAGGACAACGCATATACAAAACGCAGTAAATACTTAAATAATTTAAAAACAAATAAATAAAATTAATCAATTGTTCCATAGTAAAAATGTAAATATATGGATTGAACGGCGTTTTAAAAATTTCATGCCGGTATTGCATGAAGCCTTAGCGGGCTTCATGCAATATGGATGTACCCGATTTGCGTTCATACCGGCTTGAAAATAATAACAAAAACGCCGTTCAGTCCCTATATAAACAACATACCTCTGGTCCGAGATCTTCTTTGTTAATACTGGTCACTAATTCCTTCAGGAAGCTGTCCAGTTCTTTACCCTCTATGTATCCATCACCTACAAGAGAAAGAGAACATAAGACTCGGAGTATAAGTTATACACATTTAAACGACAAATCAAGCAGGGACTCATGTTGGTTTTTTCCCCAAAAGGGTAGCATTTAAAAAGGCTTAGACTGATATCCGATCCATCTGATTAAATATTAAAACATTTTATTGAAATATAAAAAAGAACAGCAATTTAAAGAAAATATGCAAACAAATAGTACAATAAAGCAGTAATTTGTCCATACACATACACACATACGTAAAAATAGTTACGAGATATCACGAAAACAGACTTGCGTGTAATACTAATTTCTTAAGACAACCCATACCTTCCGTTTTATATTTTTAACATTCTTTCGCGGGCAGAGCTGATTGCAAATTCAAGTAACTCGGGTACAATAGCTACATATCTGTTTCTTGTTTATTTTTACAATCGGATGCTCAGGAAAGCGTGTAATATTAATTTCTTAAGACAACCCATATCTTCCGTTTTATATTTTTGACATTCTTTCGTGGGCAGAGCTGATTGCAAAATCAAGTAACTCGGGTACAACAGCTACATATCTTTTTCTTGTTTATTTGTACAATCGGGTGCTCGGGAAAAATAAGTTTTCATGGAATTGAAATTGGAAGAGCTGTCAAGCTCAAGCGTGACGTAAAGACATTTTATTCATAGTGAAGCGTATATCGTAAGACTCAACTCTATGTATGAAAATACACGTTTATCCTGTGGGATACCAATGTGAGATTAAGGGGAAATATTACTCCTATTTGATGAAAACAGTGAAATCTGAAACCAAGAGTAAAACATTTGAGGTTCTAAGACCGGAGTTGGAATTATGAGTCCAATCCAACGCTCTATCATCAATGTGAGATCAAGAATTGATTGCGCGACCCTATTGTGATATGGTTACAGTGCATAAAGTGATGACGTTGGATGACGCGACCCTATTGTGATATGGTTACAATGCATAAAGTGATGACGTTGGATGACGCGACCCTATTGTGATATGGTTACAGTGCATATAGTGGTAACGTTTGATGACGCAATCTTATTGTGAGGTGGGAAAACGTTTCAGAAAAGAAAATAGTGTGAGTAGTGTTTCCCTAAATAGATAAAGTCAGATTGATCATATCTTTAGCAAAAACGGAAGTGCGCCTAAGATATTTGGAGGAAAGTTTTTCTCTCTTATCTCTACGTGTATACATTTTAATTATACCATTGATATAACGTATTTTACCCCTCTTTCCTTGTTTATATTTCATATAATCGAGGTTAAAGATGGTATGTAGAATATTTAGTATCTTTCTTATTGTCAGTGTCGATTTTTCTAAAAAAAATCGGTTTGAGTCATTCGCTCTGTAGGCACGAAGGGTATGGAAACCTACACTCATGGATGCTATTTCCATATCCTCTTCATGTGTATGATGAACTCTCACATTTAAGATATCAGGGATGCTTGTATATTTTAACGTCTGGCCAACACTTCATGCGACAGAACGAGATGAGAGGAACACTTTATATTACACAAACTGTGCCGTTTTGATCTTATATCCAACCTTTTCAGGGTAGGACACTTCTGACACAGGAATGTGTATTCACTTGCAATTTTAATAATGGGTTCGGTAAGATAAGGCTAAATTAGCCTTGTTTTAATCATAGAAGTAGCTAATAAGGACTTAATTGGTCTCGGTAAGCACGGTGGCGGCAATTGCTTCAAGTGTCATGCATATTGCATGAATGAAACACGTGGGGCATTGATCCATAGTATAGTACCCTCTACACTTATTGCTCTGGTGTGAAGGAGACCTGAAGAGTTGTTTCCCCGAGATAAATCATATTTCCCGAGGGCGAACCCAAGGGAAACATGATTTGACGAGGGGGAACAACTCTTCATGTCTCCCTCACACTAGGGCATTGACTGTTTTATTATTCCGAAATACCATCTGTGGAGTATGTGTTATATACACATAACAAAATACATCAACATTAGGCAATGTAACGAGCCCTTGTGTTTTCACTGTTGTGACTGACCTGTTTGCGCTTAATTCATTAGGTCTGGTAGCAAATATATGCACTACCAATACCTATCACTGTTAGTGTTTTGATTTTATATCAAATTAAACAACAATAACAGTCCTTCAAGTTCTTCATCTGTTGGAAGGTGGAATCTCCCGTTCGCAGCCATTGTTGATGGTGTCGTCCGGAACACATCGGGTGTTAGAGAGTCTAACTCGTCAAATAATGTGTGAGGAGTTCCGAGAAGGATACTCGACAGGGAAAATGGATCGCGTGAGGGAGACTCAATGTTTTATAATCCTGTCATGTGATGTGTTTAAACCAATCAGACACGCTGTAAAATCGATGAGGAATAATAATGTTGGTTACGACATGCCGATACAGCTATGAATTTTTCATAAATATATTCAGATTTCCGACAATTGCAAATGAGCTACAATTTACCGTTGTATGAATTTGCTTTATTAAGGTATCATAACGGGTTATTTTTTATCAAGTTACACCAATGTTATATTATATTATATGGTTGTTCACTCTCGCATGGTATCTCACCAATGTTATGTTTTATGATATCATTGTTCACTCTCGCACGGTATTTCACCAATGTAATGTTTTATTATATCATTGTTCACTCTCGCATGGTATCTCACCAATGTTATGTTTTATTATATCATTGTTCACTCTCGCATGGTTTCTCACCAATGTTATGTTTTATGATATCATTTTTCAGTCTCGCATGGTATCTCACCAATGTTATGTTTTATGATATCATTGTTCACTCTCGCATGGTATCTCACCAATGTTATCTTCCATAAATCAACACAAGTAAACATGTTTGTACTTTAGTTACAGACCAGTCGTCAGCACACTTCAACAAACAGTACGTTTGTATATACGATTTTTTGTTGTATTTACAGGCCGTGTTTATAATGTGATGATGATGCATCGACCTGTCAGATAATACTCAGTCTTCCATCAGAGCTTAATGTAACATTCGCATGATTGCATGTTGCAACAAAACTTTATAAAAGGACAATGGTTTTGTTACTTCAGACCCGAACAATATAAAAAAGTTCATGTTTATATATTTTTGCCATTACCCATAACAACCGTTATAAAAAAAACCAAGAAATTATCACAGTTTTGATAGAACCATAATTCAAACTCAAAATTAACAAACTAGGGCAAAACATGAACATGGTGACCCTTCAAAAAGGAAAAATATAATAAGACTATGTGTTCCGGGAGGGTAAGCGTGTTTTACTTCATCGGCTAAAAGCGCCATGTAAATATAGGTCAAATCCAAGTTATGTCACGTCCTTACATCGATAACTCGGGTAGTGACACCAAAATCACAACATGCACCAATGAGTATACTGCAAAAACATCAACTTTCATATAACACAAAGAAATAGCCTATTTTCTAATGAGATCATGATGTTGACCATACAACTTGTCCATCGTATTCATCAACCTGCACTTTGGACACTCTGTGTTGTTAATTTGTCAGTCAGCAGGCGATATTTGTCACGGTAGTCATAATATTCGGAGCAAGATTTTTAATACCGAATTAGGGGAAACAGGGATATTACTATCAAAAAAAGGGAAAACTCACGAACGGAAAGTAGAAATCGTCAGCAAAGTAATAAGCCATCCCTCTTGGTCAGTTTGTGAGTAAAGATCGAGAAAACCGGCTGAAGTAGAAAGGTCTGTGGTGTTCTTGATTTCAAGATCATATAAAAAAATGAATCTGGAGTAAAGTTTATAACTTACATTCTGCATATTTCCAAAACATGTACAAAACAAAGATGTATTTATTCAAAAGAAACACACGGAACCTCATAAGTTATGTCTCCATGTTTATCATTTAGATTGTCTGTTTTGTTTTCAATGCTCATACTAATCAAATTTTTATAGAATATTGTCTCCAAGCATTTCACACAGAGGGTGTTTTTGTATTGATCTCCTCTTTCAAGATGTGATATTCACAAACAGACATGCATGCCTTTTTTTGTACCTGCGACCATCTGATCTATTGTTTAAACCCAGTTTATCATTCCAGACCCAGACAGACCAGTAATGTAAGCCGTGAACGAGACAACAACATGCGTCGCCAAAGGAAGTTGAGTATAGAGTGACACCTATTATAGCGACTCTTGGCCGACGTGTCAGGAGACTAAGCAATAATAGATATAATATCTTTCCAAGCTCCGACATCTTCTTCCTATACTGTGTCTCCCTTGACACCTAACAGCACCATCCTGATTAACGCAGGTCGCACCTTCCTTTCTCGACCAGTAACTGTTTTATTTTATTTTCGATAGTAAAACGACTACATAGCTCACGTTCCGTGAATCATGTCTCCAATATGTGACAAAAAGACAGAACACAATCTATCATTTTCAGACTCAGGCACGACATAACCTTACATGTCTATTAAAGCGACATAACCTTACATGTCTATTAAAGCGACATAACCTTACATGTCTATTAAAGCGACATCATGCTGTAGTCTACTCGATTGATTCTTACTAACATTACGCAATTTCTCTACCAGACTTTCCTCTCTATCCTGCTTGTTGTTTTGAGTGCAATTGGGCGATAACTACCGCGACCAATGAGACGACTAGAAACCAAACAAGAACAGTCCTTCATATGTTATCCATCATATGCAGCGTCCTTTGTTTTAGATTCAGCTTCGGATGATGACTTCCGTTAGATTTTCATCGGTATCATTTGACAAAGGCAAAACTACCAACAATTTGTATTGATCTGACCGATATTCTCCCATGTTGTAATGCTATTTTAGTATCGCCCTCACAATTATGGTATCATTGTAAATCTGTCAACAGCGATGCCGTTTTATCTTTTCGATTCCATGTTCATCACTTTTTCCGTAAAGATAAAATCGCCGGCAAAGAATGTTAATGGAAGTTACATTACCAATAATACAGCAGTGTTTCACGTGCTTTATTGTAATAAACGACAAC